AATCAAATCGCACCTAAAATAAAAAAGATATAGTATCTACCTAATACAATACAGGTGATCTGTACTAATACTACAAGAGATTATAATAATGCATCGTTTTACTGTTTGTACTTTTTGCCTTTTTTAATGGAGCGAAATATCTTTTCTGGTGTTCAGCTTTTTTATTAGGGCTACATTTGGTCTCAGGCACAATGCTGTGGACGGAATGGCGTTCAATTGCATTCATCCTTGATTTTCTTGTATGTAGACTTTTTGAAACATATAATAGAGCCTCATAACTCTGACACTTAGATATATCAGCAAGTAAAGTGGACATTTGCTCATTAACAGCTTGTTTTCTTGTTTCCTCCATCCTCCATCACATGACACGAATCAACAGATATGTAACTGAAAAAATTAGGTACCCTAAACGGGGGGATAGAAACTTCAGGGTCAGTATAGAAACAAAATTACGAAACTTAGTAAAAAAGTACAAGATCAAAAGCAAGACAAAACAGGAAACCCTAACCTAAAAATCTTCTGTGGAAAGTACGCGCAAGCGCATACTGAAAGAGCCACGTTGAGATATAGACGCAAGTATACCCCGACTCCATTCACACGCTAAGTCTAAAAGTTGTATGACGGGGAGATAGTATTTAAGAAATTTCACTTCTACCACGTGTACGGCGCTGCACATGTTTTTTTGGTTTTTGTTGATTTTTTCATTACCTAAACTAGGAAAATTATAGATTTAAAATTTTTCGTATGGGTGCTCTGCACCCATAATACTTTCAGTATGGGTGCTTGCGCACCCACAGCACCCATGGAGTCGGCGCCTATGTGTCAGAATAATGATTTTTTTTTTTCAAATGAAACAACCTGTATATTATAACATTTTTCGATTCTCTAGAAAATTCTAGATCTTAATTGTTTAAGTATTATGTTCTCTATACTTATCTTCATCTGTTGCCGAAATAATATTCTTACTTCTAAAATTCCCATGCATCAATTACTCAAGCACACAGACATTTTAAGGATGTTTCTAAGATGTCCACAAACGACATTCACGACGTCCTTTTAGACGTCTGCTTATACGTCTTCAAGACATCTTGAGGACGTCGTATGTTACAAAACACAACGTCTTTCAGACGTCTGCCTAAAGACGTCTTCAGGACGAATATTTCATTATTATTACCTAATCATTTTATAACTTTCAATTTTTATCTCTTCCAGGCGCTAGACTTTCTGAAATAATTCTGATCTAAGGTTATAAAATTGTTTGGAAGCCTTTCAAAATGCTACTGGAACATTCTAAATGGCTTATCGAAGCTCTTCTCGTGGCTTGACGAGTTCTGGAGCATTCTAGAAGTTTTTCAGTACCTACTTAATTTATAAATTGTTAATTCTGATAGATTTTTAAGTATTTGAGAGCGCTATTGAAGCTCCCAAAGTGTTCCTAATTGGTTCAAAAGAGTTCCAAAAGGTTTCCAGTTCTAAATTTAATCATCCTAATTGTTCTGAAATAACTCTGAAGTTTCTAAATTGTTCTGATGTAGATTTGAACTGTTTTAAATGCTTTAAAGGTCCTAAGTTCTACAGCAATCTAAATTCGCGCTTGAAAGCCTTCTGAAAGGCGTTTCGTAACTTTCAACCTGAATCCTAACATTCTCGCGCTTTCCAAAATGTTTCTGGAGATTCTAGAGTGTTTGATTTGTTTTGGAGCGACCTGATAATGGGTTTCAAACTTCCGAATTGTTATAAAATGCTTTTGGAAATTGTAAATAGGTTTTTGAATGATTTGGGGATTCTAAAATAGTTCTGAAATTTCCAAAATGTCCTGAAGCGCTACAGAATGCTTATGGAAATTCTGACTTGAGTTTCAAGTGTTTTGAACTTTCCAAAATGCTTATTAAAGTTCTAAAGTGTTTATTAGTATTCTAAATGTTTTCCAGTAACTTCTAAATTGAATGAGAAATGCATTCTGTGAGAAATTTTTTGTAGACATTCCCAAGATGTCCACAAACGACATGTAAGACGTCTTGCTTACGTCTTTTAAGCGTCTTAAAGATATCTGAAAGTCGTCGTATCTTACAAAACCAAACGTCTTTCAGAGTTTGCCTACAGACGTCTTTTGAACATTTTTCTAAGTCATTCTAGAAACGTCTTCAACGAAATGTCCTAAAGACGTATTATTTGAATCTATTTTTAATACATTTACTCATTTTTGAGTCCGGTTGTACCAAATAGTGTGGCTTAGTTGTCTTTGATATGATATTTTTGCAGTTCTCTAATACTACAAATGTAATCTTGAATCTAAAACGCCTTTGGTTGCAAATAAATATTTTTAGGTCATTTTAAAGCTTTGGGGGCTTGTTTGCCTAACAATATTATTTGTTTTTCCTTGTGCGAATGTCTTAATGTTTACTACTTGAAAATAATTTTTTATTACTAAGTTAAGTCTCCCAAAAACTAAAATATGACAAAAAAAATAAAAAATAATAAGAGTTCTCAGCATTGCTGGACTACCTGCAAAAATTATTTAAACTTAAATAATAAGAAATTTAAATATTATAAAAAACTCTTGAGTTAGGTACCATTTTACCTAAACATTAAAGTTACCTAATCTAAAAGCATAACAAGTGAAAGAATAGCTATATACCACTTAGTTTGTTAAGTCCCTTTTTTATTTTTGATATTGTTGATATTGTCATTATAAGAGGTAACAGTCAAGATTATTTGTAGGGTGTCGCATTCGGGTTATTAGTCAAAATCAGTTTTTTTTTTTATTAGTTGAGGGTTACGCGTAATTTGTTTATTTAATTGTTTCATTTTTGTTTTTTTTTTTAAATAATTATTTCTTTGGTATTATATTTTTTTTTTAGTTGATTATAAAATCAGTTATGCATGAAAGGTGTTTTTCAGATCGATCCAACTATGAACTGTTAGTCTAGGAATGTTGGTTAACCAAGTTTTAGTTTTTATTTTAAATATATACTGTTTTGCAATGTTTCTACTATTTTGTGGTACGAAGCTATATATTTTTGGCGCTAAAAAATAGTACCGTAAAATCGGGTGACTTGAGACGATTTTGACTTTCAGCAAGCGATATTTTCGAAACTATTTAACTTAGCGATGACTTAAACACGTCAAAAGTTGAGTCTTAACCAGTAGAATCGGTTTTATAAGTTGAATTTTATGTGAATAACAAGTTACCCAGGTTTTTTTATTTTTTTTTGACTGTCTCATGTCGGACGCTAGGGTGGGTTACTTGAGACAACCATATTTTTCAAGCTTTTGCTCATGTTTCAAGCTAAAAGGATCACTTGAGACAAAAGAAACGTTTTTTAAAAGGTGGCTATTGACTCCAGGCTTGATATTGTCACACCAACGAGTGTTTGAAAAGTGACAATGTCTCTTTAAAAAAGCTGGACCCAATCTTTCCCAGGCAAGTTATTTTTTTTGAATTTTTGATCACCTCGTCCGTCTTTACGACTTTACTAAAGGTTTCAAGTCGTTGCCCGTGATTAGAAAGCCCCGACGGCAAGCAACTTCTAAATTTTCCACAAAGTCTCTGCTCCTCTTCCACTGTAAAGACTATTTGACCACCGGGATTTTTTTTATTGAGACTATTCACTATTCGTTGAATGGTGCACCTGGAAATGCCATATTTTTTTGATAATAATCGATAGGATTTAGGTACTCGTTCTTCAATCGCTGGTTTCAACATTCCGCTATCATAATCAGCATAGGTCCTGCAGCCAAGTTTCTTTTTTTGTATTTTCCCATAATATGCTGAAAACACCATAAAAACAATTGGAACAGGCACATAATAACACTCTTTTTTTTTTGGAATGAATTGAGACAAGTCTCAAGTCACCAGCAACAACCGCCATTTTACCTTTTCATATATTTTTTTTTTCTTAGAAAGGGAAAGTAACTCACTATATTCCAAAAGATGCACAAAATATCAATCTATTTCTGAGTAAAGTTGCAATAGGCAGTCCTAGATAGTATAGAGACAGTATGCAAAGTTATTCAGCTATTTTTAAGTTCAAAAATTACATACATGCATAAAAAACTGCACAAAAATTAACTTATCGTTTCCGAGGAGGTTCAAACTATACTATAACACGTCTTGACAACCCTTAAGTCGAATAAATATGATGGGCGCCCAAATGCGTCGGATATATTATTGCCAGGTATATAATTAGTTTCCTCAAAAGTTTTGTCTCAACTCGCCCGGCTGTCTCAAGTCACCCAGTTTGACGGTAACTTCTTTTTTTGGTGTTCAGACGTTCAGATGTAATGCAAACCTGAAAAGACGTCTTTAAGACTTTGTATGTTGTCTGTGATAACTCGTCGAGAAACTGCTCAAGTACGATACTGACCTGAAAAGGAGGTGAAATTAGTGAGTGATTTTAACTCATTAGTTCGAAAACTCACTTGTTTTTAGATCAGTACCGTACTTGAGCAAATTAGCAATTAAAAGAGTTGCTGCTGCAATGATGAGTGAAACTGTGACTACTCACTTCACTGGTTTTGAAATCATTTACATACCTACTACTTGAACAGCTTCAATGAGTCAATTGCTCGTTTTTATTACAGCAACGCTTAAACAGCTTACGAGTTAATTTTTGCCGGAGTTTTAGAAGAAAATTAGTGAAAGTCATCATCACTCATTATAATAAGCTGTTCAAGTTCGATTATACTGATCTGAGAATAAAGTCTTGGTTTTAGAACTAATAAGTAAAACTCACTGACTCCTACAATACACTTATTTTCGAATTTCGACTTACAATCGTATGTATTTGAACAGATTATTAATGAATGAAGTGCAAAAGCATTGAGGGGGTACCTATTGATACCATAATCATATTTGGTGCCTTTCCACTATCACGGACGGAAAGATAAATCAAATCTAGTAGAGTCGAGGACCTCTGTAGTAAATTTAATTCTATAAAAGTCCAAATCATTGCTTTCATATTCTAGTTGTACCTATATTTTAATTGGTTAATGATTATTGGTGGGAGAGGCCCGCAACAATGACCTTTTCAAAAACCAAATAAATATAAAAGAAATACATTCATGAGAATTAAATAACTGATGCATTATTGGGTAGAACCATATATGTGTTCCAGTTAAAGCCTATCAGGTAAAAATAAATTTCACTTTCTCCATACGCACTTATACAAATTATTATGCATGTACGTGAAAACTATAAAGTTTAAGGTCAATCGCAATTCAAAAAACATATAATCGAGTTGTTTGTGTGGTAATCAAATGTTTGTTTCATTTGTACGATATCAGTGTGTGATGTAAATGATGATTTAGTGTAGTATATTATTTCGCGACCGAACAGATAATTTAACCCGACAGATAATACAATTTCAGTACAAACAATTCCTCAACTGGACAAAGATGTTTAGGAAAACGTTCGGGTTTTTAGTGCAAATCGACAGGAACATCAGTAATGTTCACAGTAAGTTGATGCTAATAAAGTAAATGTTGATTAACTTTCAAAATATACCTGGATTTTCCATTATCTTCAACGTATCGCATCATACCACGTTTAGCCAACTTGCAACACATAAGAAAAAAGTATAATAAGTTCCATATATTTGCACAATAAGTTGTTTGTTTGAGATTATTTAATTGTTTATTTTACATGCAGCCATTTAGATTTTAATCTTTCAACCTTATTAAGCAATCAAATATACATCATTTAATAATTTATAATTTTTTAAATATAACTTCAATAATTAAGCCTGACCTATTTAGTATTTATAATGATTATTCAATAATATGTAATTATTACTAATAATGATGCAGGTAGATCAAACAGCAATGTCGCTTTCATTGGTTTGGGACAAATGGGCGCTAGAATGGTCGAAAATCTAATTAAAAATGGCCAAAAACCTAGAGTCTATGATATTATTCCTGCTGCAGCAAGTACCATTCAAGGTAAACCATCAATTGAAACATTTAATCAAGTTTCATTTAAATAAACGCTAATCTTAGGTGCAACTCCATGTTCCTCACCCGAAGAAGCCGTAGATGGGGCCGATATCATCATAACAATGCTACCCAACGGGCAAATAGTAAAAGACACCGTATCGCGCATTTTGAAAGCCGTCCCCAAAAACGCCATATTATGCGATTCGTCAACCACGGGCCCTCAAGTAGCCAGAGAACTGTCCAAAGTGGCCAAAGATTCCAACATCCGTTTCCTGGACACTCCTGTATCAGGCGGTGTCGTTGGAGCTCAAGCTGGCACCCTTTGTTTTATGGTCGGAGGTTCTCAAAAAGACTGCCAAGAAGCCGAACCTGTACTGCTCAAAATGGGCAAAAAAGTTTTGTACTGTGGAGAATCTGGAGCGGGACAAATTACGAAATTGTGCAATAACTTAATCTTAGGTATGGACAGGTAATACTTCCAAAATATTAGTACATTTTAAATTTATTCCAGGTGTTACAATGATAGGAACATGCGAAGCTATGAATCTAGGCGTAAAGCTAGGTCTAGATCCAAAACTGTTAACTGACGTAGTGAACGTTTCTACAGGCAGGTCTTGGTCGTCGGACACCTACAATCCGGTGCCCGGAGTGATGGAAAACGTGCCCGCCAGTAAAAATTATGAAGGAGGATTTTCTGTAGAACTAATCGCGAAAGATTTAGGCCTGGCTTCGGATGCTGCTCTAAGTATAAACGCTCCCATTCCTCTAGCCGCCATGTCGCATCAGTTGTTCAGGACATTGATGACTTACCATTTAGGCAAAAAAGATTTTGGTGTCGTTTATAAGTTTTTGGAAGGGCAAGCGTTGAAACAATAATGATTTAAATTTAAAAAATAATAAATACATAAAAATATATAAGAACTTTTTCCTTTTTTCAGCATTCAGCCAACCTGGATTGCTCATAATATTTAATGAGGACACCTTTTATTTTTCTGCGTAACTTCAATAGGCTGTATCATGTCTATGGTTGTATCTATTTGGAATTTTTCAGATATTAAACTAGAATTTATTGAAAGTAGCATACCTCTCTGAATATATAAGTCAATGTTTAAAGCATGAAACTTCCCCAAGCGAAATGATGATAGAAGAAATTTGTCAAAAGATAAGTCTCTCATATGTTTTATTCCAGTCTTCCGAAATAACGGTTTCGTAATGTCTACAAAAGTTCATGATCTTTCAGAATCTCGTCAATTTTGTGAACTTTTGGTGGATTTCTTAATGCTTGTATTAGTCCTATAGTTATTTTATAATCATGTTTGTGTCTGAGGTTATCTCATGTTTATAGTCAACCACCCGTGCATTTTGTCTTTTTTTTTTCTTGCAGAGAATGTGGTGGGTACCTAATATATATACCTATGTATTAGTATCTACCAGTTCTGAATAGCATGTAGCGTGAAGCGTGATCCATAACTACCGTGCATTTTCCTCCTTCTTCTTCTGAATATCCAATAATGGCTGTTTTCTTGAAGTATGTTTCATCGAGTGTCCACTGTCTGATGTTTCGCAGCCAAGACATTTTCTGCCTTCCGATTCCTCTTCTGCCATCAATCTTGCCTTCGATTACCAGTTGCAAGAATTGATATTTTTTGTTGATCCACATTCTATTAACTTTGACTCCACGTTTCCAAGTCTTCAAAATCCTCCCAAAAAATGGTTTTGGATACATTATTTTCTATTTTTATTTGTACCATTTGGTGCCAATCTTCTTCTTATAGTGCATCTCCTATCGGAGGTTTGCTATCACCACAGCAATCCGGACCTTGTTGACTGCAGCTCTAAACAGTAGAATATTGGCACAATTAAACCAATCCCTTATTAGGTTCCTTAGCCACGACACACGCCGTCTGCCAATGTTCCGCTTTCCACTAATCTTTCCCTGAACTATCAGTTGGAGAAATGTGTATTTCTGTCCTCATTACATGGACTCAGATATTGAAGCTTTCTCTTTTGTATGATGTTGGTAAATGATTTCGCATTCCTTCTGCATCTGGTTCAGCACTTCGGCAGTCCAGGGAATACGCCACATTCTACGGTAGCACCACATTTCGAAGGCTTGAAGTTTGTCCATGTGTGTTTTTTCTTGAGGGTCCATGTTTCAACTCCACGAAAGCACGGAAAAAACGTAACAACGAAATATCCGTATCCTAGTTCCATGGTAATATCTCTACTCGTGAATAATTTTCGATTTTTATAAATGCTGATCTGGCTATCTCTATCCTTTTTCTTGTCTTTTGTTTGATCACTCATTTGTTATATTCAAGTTCCTAGATATTTATATGGTATATTACATGGTTCAGATTTTGTGGGAACTTCTGGTTCTGTTTTTTAAAGTTAATTTTTTGTTGAGTTTTTTGTCCATATTCATGACATCGATCTTTTAGTTTTTTAAAAGGTGCTGTGTGTCTTGTGTGTGCATAACCCCTGTCTAAACTCGAACTGTCTCTTTCACACTTTTTGTATATTCTTTATAATGGTGTATAATTTTAAGAAATATTCATGTATATAAGAATAAGAAGATTATAAGGATAAGGTATGACTCATCACTTATCAGGCTAATATAAGTCTATGATCTTCGCATTTTTTTGCATTGATCGTCTCCTCTGATTTAATTTTGGATGGATTTATTCTCATATCAGATAGGTACATACGTAGACGAATCTGTCTGATATCCGTTTTGATAAATCCAGGTTTCATCCAGTTATTTTCACTTGAATTTTTGTATTTTTCATATTACCTGAAATCCCACTTTTTCGCAGTTCGTACGCATTTTAGGTCATAAAACTATCACTTTATCGCACTATTACGGAAACGTTAAAATATCTAAAGTGCAGTGCGGTAATATGGTACTTACCGCACGCAAAATCGTGTAATTAATATGCCTAAGTTACCGCACGCTTGTAGATAAAATAGTTTTATTGACTCATTATTTAATAGCCTCACTCACAAGCTCGCTCGGCAATAAAATTATTCGTACAATAAAGCCTTACTTTATGTACTTGTTATATAAATAGCTATTCACAATGACGTCATAATTTCTCGGCGCGAGAAAATGGTTTTAAAACGTGGATTGTATTGTATTTCGCAACGGTTTGGACGGTTTGAACCACAGTTTGTTTGAACCAATTTTGATGTGACGTCATAGGTTCACACACCTAAAGGGCTTATCAGCCTAGTTTTGGTAATCGCCGCCATATTGGTTATAATCCTTTCAAGAGTTTAAAACACCAGAGCTACTCGCTTCGGTGCTAGTCGACCCCGATTTGAAAGGAACAGATGCGCTGGCTTTCATGCATTTAAATGGTTTCAGTCGGGTTCGAGCACTCAGATGCAAGAAACACTTTTCTTATCGCGTAAAGCCCTGGTGCTGTTCCGGAGCTCCGCCTAGGTGTGAAATTTTGAATATAAAACTACAGTGTTTGTTGCACCACGCATCTGTTCCCTGTAAATCGGGGGCGACGAAACACCGGAGCGAGTAGCTCGAGTGCTTCAAACTCTTGAAAGGAATACAGCTAATGTTGATATCAAAAAATAATGATAAAATCTGAATTAGGTGTTCCGGAGTGACTCCGAGGACTGAGGAGCTCGTTCGGAAGTACCATTGTCGACGAAATTAAATAAGTCGTCAGCTGTTTGCGCCAGCGGTCGTAGTTTAGAATTTAAGGACCCCGCAATATTTAAATGGAAATTGGTTACCCGTGATATTTGGATGAAATTTAAATATGTTATTGGGGATGCCATAAGCAACATTTTTTACCATGGGCACAACCCTGTATATATGACAGGTGAGGCGTGGTTAGCTGTCAAATATTGGAATCTGATATCCAAAAGCAGAGTAACTATGGCAGATTTTGATGAACAAAAAATCTATTTCTACTAAGTCGACCAAGTTGAGTTGAAAAATGTCAACCGTTTTAACACCTGTCAAAACCCTGCCAAACAGCAGCACTCATCTTTTCCAGTTTTCAATATTTTATGTTGTCATTTGACATTTTTAACTTATATGTGAATTCTGAATTCAAAAATTGAAAAAAAAATGACAGCTGTCAAAATGTGACGGGCATGAACCTTGTTCAATGTTTTATCACCAATAAACTGCCTTAAAACGCGAAAGGACCAAATTAGAGTATTTTTTTCTACTAAAACAAATGACAGGTTTTGACAGTTCTGTCATTTTTTTTTTTTCAATTTTTGAATTTAGAATTTTCATATAAGTTAAAAATGTCAAATGACAACATAAAATATTGAAAACTGGAAAAGATGAGTGCTGCGGTTTGGCAGGGTTTCGACAGGTGTTAAAATGGTTGAAATTTTTCGACTTAACTTGGTCGACTTAGTAGAAATAGATTTTTTGTTCATCAAAATCTGCAATAGTAGTTACTCTGCTTTTGGATATAACCTTGCGTTCGGTATTTTGCTCGAAGAGCAGAGCGTGCAGAGCGGAGCCGTAATCACGTGACCAGCGAGCGAACAGAGCAGTTGAACGCTGTATAAATGTGCCAGAAATTTTAATAAACGAACGCGAGTGAGGATACACCGAGTACACTTTTTGAATAAACGAACGGTAAAGTCAAGCTCGGAGAACTCAGACCAAAATAACGAACGCACGGTAAGATTCCAATATTTGACAGCTAACCACGCCTCACCTGTCATATATACAGGGTTGTGCCCATGGTAAAATATGTTGCTTACGGCATCCCCAATAACATATTTAAATTTCATCCAAATATCACGGGTAACCAATTTCCATTTAAATATTGCGGGGTCCTTAAATTCTAAACTACGACCGCTGGCGCAAACAGCTGACGACTTATTTAATGTCGTCGACAATGGTACTTCCGAACGAGCTCCTCAGTCCTCGGAGTCACTCCGGAACACCTAATTCAGATTTTATCATTATTTTTTGATATCAACATTAGCTGTATTCCTTTCAAGAGTTTGAAGCACTCGAGCTACTCGCTCCGGTGTTTCGTCGCCCCCGATTTACAGGGAACAGATGCGTGGTGCAACAAACACTTTTCGAAAGGTATAAGCGCGTGAAGCTCCGAAGCTGTTCCGGAGCTCCTCCTTGGTGTGAAAGAATACAACTAATTACCGTCATTACCTTAAAGGGCTTCTTGCACCCACCGTAAATTTATGGCATCAGGGGAAAGGGGGGTGCACTATGAGCGACTCGAGTGCTTAATGCACTTTTAAAAAGAACGTTCAAGCTTTTGACATTGAGAAGCTCCGAGTAACTCAACGGGTAAAAGTAATACAGTAAATCCTGCCTAGTAATAGTAATGTGTATTATCCTTGGAGCAAACATAAATATAAACTCAGCTATACCGTGCGTTCGGTATTTTGATCTGAGTTCTCCGGGCATAAATTCGACGTTCGTTTTTTAAGAAACTGTACTCGGTTCAGGCTTATTCACGTTCGTTTACGAAACTTTCGAGCCCTCTGATCAGAGATAACCCCTGATACAGCGTTTAATTGCGGTGTGCGATCTCTGGTCACGTGATTACGGCTCCGCTCTGCTCTTTGAGCAAATACCGAACGCTAGCCAAATGAAATTTCAATGCTGTCATTTAAACGTCAACTATCAATGTCAAAATCGCAGCCATTTTCCTTTCGTCTTTTAACAAGCGGTGTGTACACGTGTTTGCCGATTTTTCCCCAAGAAAATTGGAAAATAAGGTAAGAAAACAAACCCAAATACTCCAAAAATCTTCTCTAATACTCCCTGTATAATTGTTTGTAGACAATATGGGTCGTGTACGTACGAAAACCGTGAAAAAAGCCTCCAAAGTAATCATTGAAAAATACTACACCCGCCTAACATTGGACTTCCACACCAACAAAAGGCTGTGCGACGAAATCGCAATTATTCCCACGAAACCTTTGCGTAACAAAATCGCTGGGTTCGTTACCCATTTGATGAAGCGTCTCAGACACTCTCAAGTACGTGGAATTTCCATTAAATTGCAAGAAGAGGAACGTGAGCGCAGAGACAACTATGTACCGGAAGTTTCTGCTTTGGAACACGACATCATCGAAGTCGATCCGGAAACCAAGGAAATGTTGAAAATGTTGGAATTCAACAATATCAGTGGATTGCAACTCTTACAGCCAACTACCAATTACAATAGTAATAGAAGGGCTTGAATTTGTATTTAATGGGTAATTAATAAAAAAAAACATTGGTTTGCAATTTATGTGGTTTTATTGAGCAAGTTAATAATATATTCTTGGGGGCCAAGTTTCAGTTGTTGGGGTTTGGCTGTACACAACTTTAGTCTAAAAAGTTTCAATTCAATTAATTATTGCTGGTTTTTGTAGCATTACTTACGGAGAGTCTAAAAACATGTCGAGTAACTCTAAGTGCTGCATTAAAACTGTACATAATCATTCCTCCAAAATATTTAAATAATCTAGTCAATTGACTTTCAGGTGGTTTTGGCTGGAACAGTTTGTTAAGCAGAAAATTCTGGTTAGTCACGCACCATAAAAATAGAAAAACTATAACGAAGGCAATTATGTATGTGCCACAATTGTAGAAAATAAATAATGAACTTTCAATTGCTAGAAGAAAAAAAAATTAGTTGATGGAAAATTAATTGGTATAAAAACTTGTTTACTTACCTTTCTTCACAATGTTTAGTGAAGAAGAAATTTTACATTCAACAATCGAGGTGGAATCTGAATCAGATCCATCATCATAACGATAGTTGTCAGTGTACTCAATTTTCTTTATGTAATTTTCCTTTGATTTTAAAGAAATTTTCGATTTATCAATCGGAAGTGTATGTGAGCGTCTGGTCCATGGTAATTTCAATACTGAATATTTCTCTTTCAGCCTTGGATCTTTCCATACAGTACTAGGAACATTTTCAGTCATACTCCTATAACAATTTATTAGTTTTATTTTGCTTGAAGACTCTTAACTTGGATTAAGGACGATCAGCAGTGTAGGAAAATGAATTATTTTAGAGCCTGAACACAGAAACACTAAAATTTCATAGGTAGAAATGCTCTATGTCATGAGAGCTCCTAACATCTAATTATCATTTCGTTTAAAGTTTTTCAATTTTCCCCATTCTAAAGTCCAAAGAAAATGGAAAATTATTGTCAATATGGCACCTTCGCTAAACTGTACAGAATCTAACTTGAAATCTATCCCCAAAATAAAACTGCAGAAATCACAAACCAGTTATAGCGAATTTCATTGGTTGAAAACAGTCAGTAAACTAATTTCAACCAATGAAATTCACTCTGGTTTGTGATTTCTGCAGAAACAGACCTAATGACAATTTTTTCCATAAATGAAAATTCAAGTTGAGTCTCAAACTTACGCTTTTTTCCTGTTCATTTCTTCTTTCGTCTTGGCAAATGCGTTTCTTAATGATTGAGAGCTAATAAGAAAAGTTCAAGTCAAAATTAATCAAACCGCTCCAATAATTCTTACATATAATTTCTGTCGATATTATCAACGTCTCTTCTAAAATTTTGCCGACTATCTGGAAAACTTATTTCATATTCGGTCGGCGATTTTGGGTGCGCCAGATCCTGAAACATTCTAGAAAATGTTGTTTAATAATCAAAATAATTTGTTAGTTTATTACTTACTGATTGCCATATATTCTTGAATAACTTGACCCTAATCCATTTCTGTACATATTATCATTATAATTATTAGGTTTTGACGATTTCAAGATTGGTTCTTTTTTCCTGGTTCGATTTTTCAATTTGAGTAAATCGATTTCTTCTCGTAGATCTATGTAGTCGTCATCGTTGGCTAGACAAACAGTTTTTGTCAATAAATTATAAGGCAAAGAAAATTTTAGGGGGCATGTACTTACAGTATGTAATTGTCGGGTTCATTTGATTTTATGGGAATTGTAAAAAAAATGAAAATAGGTATATTTTAAAAAAAAAAACAGACAAAAACTGACAACTTTTGTACATATTGTCAAAGAGGAAAGTTGCTTGTGGAAAAATCATTTTTTACAGGTGAAAAGGTTCCATGAAATTCACGAATAAAATAGTTACAATATGATGCCCATTTATCCAAATTGGAACATTTATTTTATTTTTATCAGTTACCATTTAAGTAAATTGGTAAATATACCAAAGACGACTAGGTATACAGTTTAGACAGTATTAAAAATAGATTGTTAATAATATACTAAGATAATGAATACCACAGACAGGAATATTAAAGAATGTTAATCACAAAAATTCTTTCATATACTAATTAATTATATAATTACTGGCAATTTAATCACTAAGCTAAAATATTCACATAGAGAGATTTTTAATATATTTTTTTTTTGTAATTCACTTTATTATTGTTACCTTAAGTAATACCTTTTAGTTTGAAAATATACCAGCTTTCGTGTAGGAATAATCAAGTTCATACATGGAGATAATTTTTGTCTTGCTCCCCTGTAAGAAAATTTTATAGAAATTCCCTGAACATCTTTCTATAGTTAAATTGATCTTCTTTATTACTAAATTCCTCTAAACGAAAGTTGGTAAGAACATAATAAATATTTAGGAACTGGACTAAAATAAATTCAAAATTTGACTAGAAAAAAAATATCCAATTCCTACTCGGCGTCAGAATTTGCTCCCATTAAACATTCCCTTTGCTCCGAAGCTGGATCGCTAAATCTAGAACTGAAAACAACAACATCTTCAAGTCACATTTTGATGATTAGTTTTGGCTACTCACTGTATCGTCATAGTCTTATAGCAACATTTAACATAAGCATAACGCAGTACACTCAAAACCGGATCCCAATTTTCAAAGTGCGAGTACACTGTAACCATTAAAAAAGCTAAGACCATGATCAAGGTGCCAAAATAAAACGCTGGCGGGTATCTTTGGTGTTTCACTATAACATCTGCTATCATTGTCATGGGTATTGTCATACTTATGGATACTGTAGCCATAAGGGAAGATGTCAGGAAACAGCCCCACAGCCATAAGGCCTCGGATATCACAGTACCCATGAGACCGTTGACCAATATAAGGGTCATTTGTTCTTTTGTAGGCCATTCGAATGTTTCAATCTTTGTAGCGTGGAGAAACAGGAATACTGGCCACAAGAGGAGAGTGTTGAATAAACCCACAAAACCTAGAAATGATATCTTTTATTATACAGTGGTGAAAAATTCAATTTTTCTTCACCAAAGAACATTGGAATGTCGATTTTTTCTTCATTTTGCAATGAGCGTTTAAGGAAAACTAAGTAAATGGCGTAACATAGCGCGCTTGATAATGTTAATACTGTTCCCAGAGGAATGTTAGTTTCCAGTTTTATATCAGACATATTCACTAAAACCTATAGGAAAAATAACAAAATTACCAAGTCTATAGGGTTTTCATCAAAAATTTGTACATACAATTCCTATAAAACTCAATAAAACAGCAATCAGCTTTGAAATGGTAAACTTATCAGCATTACCAGAAGAATAAATCCCTGCTAAAATTAAAACAAAAATACTGGAACTTGACAACAAAATATTCATCATTTTTGAGTCAGTTCTCAACAGAGCCACTTCATACGTGTAATTAGCTAAAAACCACTAAAAAAAAAACAATTAATATAATAAAACATAATTTTATAATCAATTACCAATAAACAAAACACAAAAGCAATTTTTGAAACTTGTTGCACTGGCAATTTTGCAGTGGCTCGTTTAGTTACATCATTAACACGTAAAGAAGCTTGATAAGACAATCTGGCTAATAAAGCATCGGCTGCATCAACTTCAGATAAATGCCTCACTTCAGCTACTTTATTGAATCTAACAGATCTCATTGTGGAATCGTCACTTTCCGTTCCAGAGCTTTTATTATTGTCCGATGTTGCTTTAACTGGTATATAAGTTGGATTGCTCAGACTTGAATTAATTACAATTGCGCTCGACTCGTCCGAGTTGTCGTAATAGTAATCTTCTTGTTCTTGGTCCGACAAGTGAGCATATGTTTTGTTGAAAAATTTTTCTTTCCACGGCGGCCACAATAGGAAACCCAGCAAGTAGAAGGTGAACATTGAGGTTTTGATGTAGGTACAAAAAAAGGGCTTTTCGAATGTTTCTTTCTTGTAAATGTACTGAAAAGTAATTTGAACTTTTACCGCCAAAAATGTTTGAATTATAGATGTCGCTGCAAAAAGTACAGTTTCCTGTAATTATTATTATTATTATTATTAAATTTGTTTTTTTGAGAGCTGATATTTTTGCTCTCAGTTAACGAATTTGATTTGATAGATAAGGCATTGTGTTAACCAGATCAACAGAATTTAGCTCATAAATCCTGAATAATTTAAAAGTAGCGAGTAGCAAAATTAAATAAAAAGGCTCAAACCTTAGTTAATTCAAACGAAGATACCCAAATAACGTCCACCAAAATGAGCACAATCAATCCTAGAAAGATTCTTTGGTTTTTGGATAGGACGGTGGCAGAATTGATTATCGGATCCATAATTTTGCGGTTTGTTCGCACTGGCAATCACATTTTAACTAAAATACAGCTAATAGCAACGATAACAAGCCGATATGCGGCATCCGATTGCTGTAAATTAAAGTTTTAGTTTAAATAATTAAAAAGCCCTAAAGTCCTGCTAGAAATCATAACAAAACAAAAACAACATCCGGTTTTGGAATGAAATAATTCGGATTCTTTTTTGTTTGAAATCTGGAGTGCGTTCGAAATCACCCTGGGCGTCACACAGAGTGCACACCAGCCATGCATTTTTCATGGCTGGTGTGCACTCGGTGTGACGCCCAGGGTGATTTCGAACGCACTCCAGCGGTAACTGCGAGGTGGCAGGATATTAGACAATACGCAGGATAGCCTATCATAGTTTTAAATCTCAAGCCTACCACCGCGCCAAAGTACTAGTGATTACGTGAGCAGTATGTCATTTCTCGCCTTGACGTAGGGTGCTTGCACCACAGATTATGAATCCGCTGGCTTTTGCTTCATGCATACATACTTGGTTTTAGTAGTACATTAATTAACATTCTATAACAACCCTTTTTAGAACCCGTTTGCATCTTTCTCTTTTGCCTGTGATGTTAAACAGAATTTAATAATATTTTTCATCACAATAAATGTAAAGTCTGTTTTTTTTTTAAAGATAATTCCCCAAGTCAAAAATTTAGTAACTATGTTGGCAACACAAGCTTTTTCTACATAAAAAATTTGAAAGCTTGACAATTTTACATTGTATTGCCAACATAATGTCGTTTCAACTATTATCTTTAAAAAAAAAACACATTTTTATATTCTAAACGACGACGTCGACTGCTGGCGAAAACAGCTAACGACTCCGTTGATGACGTCAACAACGGTGCATCATATCATCATGATTCCAAAAATCGGTCATCGGTAATCTGGAGTGGTGTCCAATATGCCAGTTCAGCCAATAGAAACACCATTGCCCCAATGTTAAAAAAGTGGACGCGAGCAAACGGCTAAAGTTTTATTCAAATCGGGACCGACTAATACCGGAGCGAGTAGCTCTAGTGTTCTCAAATCTTGAAAGGAATACAACTTAAGCCTACGACCAATAGAGAAAAATCCAACATAATGTCATTTTGAGTATTTTCTTTAAAAAAAACTTCAGGCTTTATGGCGTATTCGACTTATCTCCACGTGTGCACTTAGTTCGGTTCGCATGGTTCGCATTTCAAGAGTGCACTCAGAGCAATATTTCGCGTTCTGAATAATTCAGAGCCGCTTTCCAGTATGCACATTGGCGCGCTCTAGAGCACCTCGGGGGCGCCACGCACTAGAATTGTACCGTTCCAGTATCATGACGTGAGACGCCTATCTTAGTGTCGAATATGTCAAATTTTAAAAATAATTATCTTCTGAGGCCTTCTATTTAACGAGTCGAGTCGAAATTCATATCGAATTGACAAAATAGCGATTCTATTTTTCGATTTTTCCATACTTATTACACGGTACTGGAGCTGTCGTATTCGATATCGAGACAATTTGACTCGACTCGTAAAATAGAATCCGGGGGCTGTTGTGCAGTTTGTTTTTTTATTTATCATTAATGAAAGAGAATCAAAACTATTATTTTTTAAAATGTTCAATCTTGAGATATAACAAGAAATAAATAAATAAATAGCCACCCACGGATGTGACAGCTGACAGGTTGACGCGTACGTACAGCTCGGGAGCTCAACGCCCCGAGTAGCTCCGGGCGTCACACTCCCATACTGGAAAGCGGCTCAGGTCATGAACAGCCAATCACACTCTAGTGCACTTTACGGTACAAAATTGCCTAGAGCGGATTCAGGGCCAGGGGCTTATTCTGTAAAGAACGAACCGTTCCATTCGGTAGAATTTCTTCGATTGTGACGTCATTTTTGGTTTGGTAGCTTCCGCGCTACCAAACCGAAAATGACGTCACAATCGAAGAAATTGTACCGAATCGAACTGTTCGTTCTTTACAGAATAAGGCCGCAGGGCCGGATTTACCACTAGGCAATTGCCTAGGGGCGCCAAGGCCCAAGGGGCGCCAGCGTTTTGGCTTTTCAATTAATTGATGATGCATTTTGGGAAAACGAAATAGAAAATATTTTTTTATTATTTTATTTGCATAAAGAATAAGCTGATTACAAATACACACGCATACACAAAAATAACTTAAAAACACTTGTGATGACGCTGTCCTTTTCACGTGGCTCCGTTTTGAACTAACCGGGCTAGAAAACGGTTAGTAGCGGTATATCAAGTGATGACGTCATTGAAAATGCCACTTGAAACCGAATGGTTAGAAAAAATCTTTTATCCGGTAGAGAAGCGAAAAGAAACCGAAAAGGTCTCCTGGCAATTTTAGGTCCAACGCCTCCTAAAGATAGAAGAAAATCACAGAAAAATCCACTTCTTCTACCTGGGAATAGGCCCCTTGCATCATTTTTTTTTATTGCTGATTTTGATAGTCCATGAAAAATAAATCAACACGTTTCTTCTTTTTCTTGTTAGTCAAAATTTGACGGAGATACAACGCTTTGAAATGTCCTTCTGACGTCATAACTTATAATACGATGTGACGTTGCACATGCTCAGTATATCTATATATACAAAACTCAATATTTGTATAACTTTCGAAATAATCATATTTGGACAAAATAAGAAAACACGCATCGATTTTTTTTCTATTTCCTACAGTTTGTAATAAACAATAATCAATTTAATTTTCCATGCAAGTAGGTACCCTATTCCCCAAAACTGAAAGTTAACTTATTTCGAATTTGGAGAAAAACAAAATAGGTACTCTATCTGTTAGAGAAGGCGAAAAGAAACCGGAAAGGTCTCCTGGCAATTTTACGTCCAACGCCTTCTAAAGCTAGAAGAAGTTCCAGAGAAGAAAATCCACTCCTTTTTTCTGGGGATCCCCCAAAATTCAATGTTGACTTTTTTAGAATTTCGAAAAATAAAATCTTCTAAAGTCTGTTTTTTTTTTAAGGATATAATTCCCCAAGTCAAAAATTTAGTAACTATGTTGGCAAAACAAGCCTTTTCTACAAAAAAAATTTGAATGACAATTTTACATTGTATTGCCAACATAATGTCATTTTGACTTTTATCTTAAAAAAAAAACACTTATAACTTTGTACTGAGGATTCCTCAAAATTGGAAGTTCATTTCCGAGCAAATAAAATTTCGCGATTTAAACGCCGAGTATAGTGCAGAGCGAAGAGAGCAATAATTTTTATTCAGGTTAACAGCTAAAAGTAGGCCTGGCGAACCTGTGGGGCTGGCATCACGACAAGTAGAATTCCACTTTCATGACGGCATCCGCGCCCTATTTATCGCGTACAGTTAGTACAGGCGATGATGAAGGTTGCTAGCAACCACGTCATGAAAGTAGAATTCTAGTAGAATTCTACTGGTCGTGATTCCAGCCTTGGCGTTCGCGCTTTGTGAATCCGTGCAAGGCTCAATGGCGCAAGAGCATCCTATAGCCCAGGGCCCGGATTCCGAACCAACGATTCAATAGTCGTCCATCGTCAGCCTACTTTTGCACGAGTTTGTTTGGTTCATATCCCAATCCATTCTTGACACGGTGCACTCACGTGCTGCGTTTGGGTCAACGCTCGGCGGAGCGAGCAGAGCGAACACGCAGTAACTGACATCACAGGGAGTGCACTTTGTCAAGCCAAATAAACTTTGGTAAAAGTACCTGCCGATGGACAATTTTTTTTTTTAAAGAGTTGTATTCCTTTCACACCTAGGAAGAGCTCCAGGGCGTTACGCGCTTATTCCTTTCGAAAAGTGTTTGTTGCACTGAAGTGCTCAAGCCTGAATCAAACCATTTAAATCTTAGAGCAGGTAAAGCGCTATCCTCGGACATAGGGAGTAGGAACGCGCATACCTGAAAAAAAAAACGGCTTCATTTTCCAAATCCAGGTTACTCCTCCTCCTTACATTTACCTGCTCGAAGATTTAAATGCACGAAAGCAAGTGCATCTGTTCCTTTGAAATCGGGGTCGACTAACACCAGAACGAGTAGCTCCAGAAGAGGTCCAGTGTTCCAAGCTCTTGAAAGGAATACAGCTATCGAATCATGGGTTTAGATTCCGGGTCCTAATTTTATGGAATATCCGACTGCCCTGTACCTGCAATTTTGGTAGTTTTAGTTGCATTAAAGTATATAAGTGGTTTGTGGTGGTGGTTTGGTGGTTTTCTTGATCAGGGTCCTTATTATTGGAACAGCAGAGCAGCGTTCCCGGAAACGAGTATTCCGTTTTTGTTAAAATCTGTTTTTTTTTTAAAGATAAAAATCAAAATGACATTATGTTGGCAATACAATGTAAAATTGTCAATGCTTCATATTTTTCATGTAGAAAAGGCTTGTGTTGCCAACATAGTTACTAAGGGCCATATTCTCCTTAGTTTATAAAGCCTGGCTTAGTGGAAACGCTTGGCTTTTTGTGTGGCAAAGCCGAGCTGTTCCACTAAGCCAGGCTTCATGAACTACGGAGAATATGGCCCTTAATTTTTGACTTGGGGAATTATCTTTAAAAAAAAAACAGACTTTACTTATATTATCAATTGCATATCATTGAGAAAGACGGAACACTTGTTCCCCTGGGAAGGCTGCTCCCCTGTTTCAAGAATAAGGACCCAAAGTTGGAACTCTGTAACGGATAGAGATCGTTATTCCCCTCGCTATGGCACTCCTTCTTCTCTCTTATCGAAATCAATAGAGAAGGGACGCGAATAGAGATAGAGATATTGGTCGCTATTTGTTACAGAGTCCCAGCCCAGAGTGCTTTCCATTTTCTGGAAGGTGACTTCACAGATCTCAGCGGGCATCTAGAGCGACGCTCCGTTGTGCCGAACATATGAATCCGTTCCGGATCGTTTATTGATATATCGGGTGCAATTTTGGAACAAAAGTCGAAAGCACTATTAATCCGAATCCGTCAATTCATTTTCATTTGACGTTTCCATTTTTGACAGATGACGGCCTCCTTTTCAAATCGTCCATTGTTGACGATAGTTTTCGATATTTTTTAAATCCATCATCATCGGCTCCAAATAGCCGTGTTTTAACAAAAATTTAGTGGAAATCGAAAGAAAATGCCACCAAAATTCGATCCCAATGAAGTCAAATACGGTACGCATTTAATTTACGTGAAAAAAATTTAGTCAAAGTTGGACCTCCGCTAAAATAGTATTTTTTCATTATTATTGTGTTGTTTTTTAGTATACCTCAGATGTGTGGGAGGAGAAGTAGGAGCCACATCATCCCTTGCCCCTAAAATCGGTCCCCTAGGTCTGGTAAGTCAAAAATTATAGGTTTCCTAAAAAAAATCAACATAACCTATAAGCCATATTTTGTTACTTTTTCCACTAATAATTTATTATTGTAGTCTCCCAAAAAAGTCGGTGATGACATCGCCAAAGGCACAGCCGATTGGAAAGGTCTGAAAATCACTGTACAATTGAAAATCCAAAATCGTCAGGCCACCATTTCGGTATGCCCCTCAGCGGCTTCTCTAATCATTAAAGCTTTGAAAGAACCACCAAGGGATCGTAAGAAGCAAAAGAACAGTGAGTGATTTGTTTGTTGGGAAGTTACTGACTATTAATGTAGATTTATTTTTTTGATTTTTAGTCAAACATAGTGGTAACATTTCCTTTGACGATGTAATTTCTATCGCCAGACAAATGAGGCCCCGTTCCATGGCCAAAAACTTGGCAGGCACAGTTAAAGAAGTCTTAGGTAAGTCTAATGGTAATTCATCTTATTATGAAGCACTTTAAAATGTTGGCAGAATTTTTTTTGATAGTTCTGTTACATTTATTCGGTGCTAAATTAATTTATTCCTTATTTGCAACCCATGCTTACGAATTACTAAGTGTGTTACTACTGGGAAAAGACACCACTACTACAGTTGTGAATTGATTTTTACAGTAATTATAGCTGTGATTGTTAATTCTGTGAGCTTCAAGATTAAATTCATATTGATACTTGAGAGTTACTGAAAAAATTTAATTTTTTTTAATTGAAATAATGATCATTTTATATTTCTTTTTAGGTACTGCCCAATCTGTTGGCTGCACAATTGATGGTAAGGCACCACATGACGTCATTGACGAAGTAAACGCTGGTTCCGTTGAAGTGGCAGAAGAGTAACTAGATTTTTAAAAATAAATGACTATTTGTAAGTTATAAAATGTGTAATTTTTTTTTCCTTAAAATTTTGTTTAAAATAAGTAATCTAATCCTCAATCTTTTGGGCATATTTCCAAATTATGGGTAACAGCATGATATGCTAGATAAAAATGCAATGTTGGATTGCTGGTGGACTTACTAATATACAGAGTGGTCCATTGAAAAGTATCCACCTAGATTTACAGGTTTTTGTGAAATTTAAGAAAAAAATGCTCGGACACGTGTATTTTGTTTCGGAGGGGGAAATATTCTCTGCATATTTTTAGCCCTGTAACCTTCAACCCCTAACGGGGGTGGGCTCCAACCCCTTAATCTTTAATGGAACGATGGGTCGAGTGATAGCTCGACTGAAAGGGCACGAAATTAGCTTTCCAATGGTACCCTGTTTGTTGGATTTTACTTTGACAGTTAATGCGAAAACGACGCTAAGAGCCTCACCCCTGTATTTTTGGAATCAATAAAACAAAGGAATTAAATTTCACTTATTTCGAGACATTTTAACTAGTAACAATATTTATTTGATGAATTAATTCTCTTTATTAGCTTTCAATCATGGTCAGTTATTTAAGAATACGATGTTCTCGAAAACATAAACTGTTAATTTTTTTAGTATAACGTTAATTTAACAAGTTTTGATAATGTGACCCATTTACTTCCATACAATAATATAAATTTTGTTCAAATCTGTTTCGGACATTTTGCAGCACATCAGGTGTTATGCTTCTGCACCCAGCTATTATTCGCTGGCGAAGATCTTCTATAGAATCGGGTTGCGTGGCAAAACATTTATTTTTCAAGTGTCCCCACAAAAAATAGTCTAAAGGCGATAAATCGGGTGACCTGGCAGGCCATTCAATTGCGCCTCTTCTTCCAATCCACCGTCCAGGGAATCATAAATTTAAAAAATCTCTAACAGCAACAACGTAATGCGGAGGCGCTCCATCTTGTTGGAAATGAAGCCGATCAACATTATGATTTAGGTCATCTTCTGTTATCAAAGGGTCAATTGCATCCTCAAGCATATTTAGGTACACTTCGCCAGTTAAATTACCAGGGATAAAAAGTGGTCCTACAATATGATTTCCTAAGATGCCACACCACACGTTTATTTTTTCAGGGTGTTGGGTATGGGCCTTACGGAATAAATGTGGGTTACTATCATCCCAGTAACGGCAATTATGTCTATTGAATGTACCATTTAAATAAAATGTACACTCATCAGAGAAGCAAATGTTAAATAATAAGTCCGGTTCTTGCATTAAACGCTGACTCATTTCTTCACAAAACTGCATCCTTCTATCAGGATCATCCTCATTAAGTTCCTGTACTAATCTAGTTTTGTATGGATGAAATTTGTGCACTTTTAAAATCCTTAATAGGGACGAACGGGGGACACCTGAGACTTGAGCCAGTTGACAGGTACTTTGGGTATGATCCAATGCCACATGTCCCAAAACAGCTACTTCCACAGCTTCATTTCTGTTGTGTTGCGGCTGGCGTTTCACATTAGCAACAGATCCAGTATCGGTAAACTTTTGCACTAATTTCGCCACATACGAATGATTGACATTTTCGTTGGGATGAGCGTCATTAAATAAACGAGCAGTAAGCCTAGCACAACTATTATTTTGAAAATAAAGCTTGATAATTTCCACTCGTTCTGCAATGGAATGAATCATTTTTGTCAGTAAAATTTAGATCGTCTCGAAATCAACCAAACTAAATCAATGAACGGAATAAACCTAAATTCTTTTCCTTCATTTACCAAGTGTGTATCTGCTTACTTATTTTTACAAAAAAAAAACGCACACAATAAATGAATGCATTTTATTCTGATAAAAGATAACAAAACATTTACCTATTTTGTCGTGTTTGGCTTTTTGTATTAAAATAGGGCGGATATTTTTTGGCGTTGAAACAATGAGTTTTTACTTAAATAAGTAATTTGAATTATGATTGTAGCTCTTTTGAATCGCGATAACTGAAATTTAAGTCCTTCATTTTATTGATTCCAAAAATACAGGAGTGAGGCTCTTAGCGTCGTTTTCGCGTTAACTGTCGAAGGAAAATCCGACAAACAGGGTACCATTGGAAAGCTAATTTCGTGCCCTTTCAATCGAGCTATCACTCGACCCATCGTTCCATTAAAGATTAAGGGGTTGGAGCCCACCCCCGTTAGGGATTGAAGGTTACAGGGCTAAAAATATGCAGAGAATATTTCCCCCTCCGAAACAAAATACACGTGTCCGAGCATTTTTTTCTTAAATTTCACAAAAACCGGTAAATCTAGGTGGATACTTTTCAATGGACCACTCTGTATATAAAGACAGTACAGTTTCTATATGAATCTCGTATTTTTACATAAAATGATTAAACTCTTGTCAACAAAAATATATCCCATAATGGGCGACCACTCGTCACCCATATTTTCTTTTTCTCCTGGTGTGTCCTTACATCTGTTCTGTTCAATAAGGGCAAGTCCCTAGCTTTTAATTAAACTGATGGAAAAATAGCAGTTTACAAAATTGTATCAGAAATGTTCAGTAGATAAGTCTGATACTTTTCATGATGTATAGTGACATAAATGATATAAATATTTTCGTCACAATCTAAAACGATCCTGTTGAAGTTTCTAGCCATATCTGTAGGTATTCTTGTTTTATTAGAGAAAATTGAATTCATTACCACCCCAGTGATCCATTTCGTATTTATATCTATGTACAGAAATGGTTAGGTAGGTATGATATTTTTGTTTTTTGAAAATTATTTTCAACAGTATAAAGTGTTAAGGTTGTTACCTACTTCAGTAGTCAATACTGATAAATGATGTTTCCACCAGTAGCAATGTTCTTTTTCTTTTGAGTACGACCTAAAGGTGGCTCTACACTAAGTATAATTTTTTTTCCTTATGAGCCTATTACTTTTTTTTATTTTTTATAAATACAGGGTGGGGCAATTTGGAAACTTTTGTCAAAAATACTGGGAAAGTCAAAAATAAGCCACTGTTCAGTCCTCATTGGTTGACCCTGTACACATATTTCAAAGTTATTTTATCTACTTCATTCTTCAGTACCCATGGTTGCATTTAATTGACTCATTTTTCAATAACAAAACAAAAGATGAGTTTAAAAAAAAATACAAAATTTTATTAAATCTTAAATATTATCAGTCTACAATTCCTTGCGACATTCGTCACGATCGGCGTTTTGGGGCCAGTTACAAATATGGCTGACTGTGTGATAAACTAAACCGTCTTGACAGCTAAATTCAGTTGGTTTGCCGTGGTCACATCGATAATACTAGAAAAAAATAAATTAATATTCTGGCGATATAACCATTTGATGGATCATTACCTTTGAACAGTCTGGATGGGGCATAAAATCTCCTTTACAGTTTTTCGGGTAATCAATTTCATTTGGATTTTCCGACGGATCTTCATTAAAATTAGGTATTTTAGTGGTCGACCGTTTTGTGGTAGTAGTTCTGCTTTTTGTGGTAGTAGCTCTTTTTGTGGTTGTAGTTTTTTGAGTGGTTGATTGTGTAACTTCTCCATCAGCTGATTGAGTACTTGGAGGTCTTGCCCATTCAGGCTAAAAATTATTATAACTAATAATTATTGCTGAAATAGATAACATTTTATTCTTACTCTAGCTGTAGTGGTGAGAGTGGGTTCTGGTACCGAATAATTTTTCATGTTGGCGTGTAAAATATGCAGTAAAACATTTTTGGGACCGCACAGTCCTTGAAAATCGTCCGTGTCTATAGACCAAGTCATTGCACCTCCGTAACCTCTGGATTTGATAAAGTCCATTTTGATTTGAACACTTCTGGGGTCCTCATATCCTACCCATTGAGTTTCTTTATATGCGTACGGTACCATACCGCCTTCATCCCATTTTTTCGTCCAAGAGCTTTCTTTTTCATCAACAACTTCACATATCTATAAAAGTCAATTGATTAATTTGTATTTTCATATAAAAAAAAATCTTGCCTCATAATAAGCAAGCATTCCAGTGGCGTTTGTATAAGGTCCAGGTGCTCCACCACCAGCTTCCTTATCAATGTAGGTGCCCAAATTGTAGTTGGTATTGCCCTTGCTCAAAGTGAAACTTCTTCCGTAAAATGGTATTCCTACTATAAGTTTTTTAGGTGAACAACCATAGTTTACCCAGAGAAGTAAACCATCATTCTGAAAAATAATTGTTGCAGTTTATACTTAATTATTGCTTGGCGGGATACTTACAACATTCAATTTTTCATAAGCCCATTGGTCGTGCGGTCTCTTATAAAGTGGGCTATGAGTATCAGCAAATCCTGCCCAATTTCCTCTTAAATCATACGTCATTGCATGAATTGCATCCAGAATTCTAAAAAACAAAAAATTTTTAGCTTCTCATTTAAAACTTACAAAGCTCATTCATTACTCGCATAATTCTGGTACGTGGTAACCTTCGTCCAATCGGAACTTAGCGACGGGTACTGCCATGGTAATTTCCCATCCTTTGCCCTCTCTATCAAAAGCCCTTCTCAATTCTTGAACGAAATAAAGGAAAACGTCCTTGTCGGAAAACTTGCCGCCACGATCCGAAGCTCCTGGATATTCCCAGTCCAAATCGAAACCGTCGAATCCGTATTCGCCCATGAATCTTACCGCGCTTTTTATAAATGAGTCTCTGCGGGACTTATGGGCTACCATTGCCGAGTATTTCTCACCACCTTCAGCCCAGCCACCAAGGGCTACTTGAAATTTGACATTGGGGTGATGCTTTTTTAGGTCGGTGAAGTTTTTGAAGCCTCTTTGTTCGATATCGTACTAGAAAAATCATTTGTGAGCAAGAGCCATTTTTACAAGAAAGAATTACCTCTTGATCTAGAACTAGTACGTCCCAACTTTCATCGTTGACACCAATAAAGGAGTAGATAACGTGAGTGCACAAGTCGACAGCGATATCGTTTATCGAGTAACTTCCAAGTCCCGGTCTGTAGATGGCCCACGTGCCCCAGTAGCATACCACTCTACCAGAACTGGCTTCTGAAAATAAATCGTTGAAAGTGTGATTAACGGTAGGATTTGATTAAAGCCAATTAAAAATAATGGATATTCGGTTTCAAAATTGTAATTCCTTCTCAACACCAAGCTAAAACTCTAATATAGTGAAAAAAAGAAGTTGTTTGATGTATTTGATGTTGGGCAGATTTCGAGATAAAAACTCAAATGAAGTCTGGACTCTGAAGATAGATAGTATATTAAGAACATAAATCAAATAACAATACATTTTGCATGTAAATATCTCAAAAACGAGAAAAGCTAATGAGATGCGGTGTTTGTTCTGGAAGAATAACAATTAGAGGTACAGTGTATCAAGTGAAAGAAATAACATCCCTTTTGCATGGTTTGGAACAGGTTTTTGTACTGGTGTACATTGAAGGCATGAAGATCCTATTTACCTGTTCATATATTCCACCCAACTCTGTATTGGAAATCTACGAAAACTATTGCACGCTGCTTGACGATATAATAATGACAGTTCAATGTGATTTTTTGATAATATCTGGTGATTTTAACCTTCCAAACATTAGGTGGTGTAATGGGGAACTTGGAGTGTGTGCTAATGGTAATATCAATAGTCAGGCTAGATGCTTAATTGATTTCTTTGCTTATCATAACCTGTACCAACAAAATCACTTTCCTAATGCTTCATTGAACTTTCTATACCTTATTTTTAGTGTTGATGGTGATTTGGATGTTTCTGTGGTCGACACCCCATTTATAAAATGTGATAGATACCACCCTGCACTTCAATTCGATGTAGAGATCCCATCTGATTTTGTACCCTTGAAGTTCGATTATTCATATCGCAATTTTAAATTAGCTAATTACGAAAGTATAAACAATTATTTGGCTTCAGTAGATTGGGGTTATTTGTTCACTCTTAAGGATGTTGATATTGCAATTGACAAGTTTTATTATGTAGTTTATTCTTGTATCGAAACATTTGTTCCTAGATCTAGAACTAAAAATCGCAAATTTCCGAAATGGTTTGATGAAAACTTGAAACATGCTATATTTGCCAAAAAGGCAGCTCATAAAAAATGGAAAACAACGGATAACATTATTGATTATGAAAATTTTTCAGTATTGAGACAAGAATGCAAAATTTTATCATCTTTAGCTTACGAAAATTTTATCAACTTGACAGAAAACGCAATTATCGACGACAAAAAGGCATTCTGGAAATTTGTGAAAGATAAAAGAAGTTGTTATGTATTACCTAATTTAATGTCGTATGGTGGCACAGTCTCGAATGACACTGATTCAATAGTTAACCTTTTTGCTGATTTTTTTGGTTCAGTTTATAGCAAGGTCAAAAGCCACAACGATTTGCACGATTCGCACAATTCGTTTGTAACGGAAAGCGAGCTAATACATTGCAAATATTACAATACGGTCGATTTAAACAACATCTCAATTACACCATTAGATGTATTTAATGCCATAGAGAATACAAAGCCACATCTAGGTGTAGGACCTGACAGCGTACCACGTGATTTTCTATTTAATTGCAGATTCATTATTTCACCCATACTCTCCCAAATTTTTAATTGGTCAATCAAATCTGGCACTTTCCCAGATAAATGGAAATTAAGCTTCATCACTCCTTTGCATAAAACCTCTGACAGAGCGAAGGTGGAAAACTATCGCCCAATATCAAAGTTGAGCGTGATTGGTAAGATTTTTGAGGAGATTGTTACTAATAAAATTACGCCGGCTTTTAAGGGTATCATAACTCCTGCCCAACATGGTTTTGTCAAGGGTAGGTCTTCAGTTACTAATTTGCTCTGCTTTGAGGAGTACCTCTCGAATGCTTTGGAGAGCAGATGCCAGGTAGATGTCATTTATACTGATTTCTCCAAGGCATTCGACAAGGTTGATCACGTCATTTTGTCGAGAAAACTGGAAAAGTTTGGCATTTCTGGACCACTACTCCATTGGCTAACCAGTTACTTAACTAACAGACAGCAGGTGGTAAAATTAAATAATGCTACTTCCTCGATCATAAATGTTACATCTGGTGTTCCACAAGGTGGTCACATATCACCTCTACTGTTCAACTTATTCATTAATGATATCCATTATGAAATTGAAAACTGTAATTATCTCTTGTATGCAGACGACCTAAAACTTTATAAAACAGTAAAGGAACTAGACGATTGTGAGGTGATCCAGAAAGATCTCAATGCGTTTTTGGATTGGTGTAAAAGAAATAGATTAGAACTGAATGTTTCTAAGTGTCAGGTAATGAGATATCATAGAATAAAGACTCCAATTATATTTCACTACTCTTTAAAAAATGAAATACTATCCGCTGAAATTTTCCATAAAGATCTTGGAGTAATATTAGATAGTCCCTTAAGATACGATCTACAGATTGAGAGCATTTATAACAAATCAATAAAGTTACTTGGTTTTATTGGCAGAACCCTGAAAGATTTTAATAATATTGAATGTTTTAAGGCTTTGTATTGTGCAATTGTGCGATCGACGTTGGAATATGGGTCACAGGTATGGTCACCTTTCTACTCTACATACATAGACTTGCTTGAAAGGGTCCAAAAGCGATTTCTTCGACTTGTTGCTTACAAACTAAAAATCCCACCAGAACAAATTGATTATAATCAATTGCAAACTTTACTAAAGCTTCCATCGCTGCAAACAAGACGTTTAATTCTTGATTTGGGATTTTTATTTAAACTTTTGAACAACACTGTCGATTGTCCATATCTTTTAGAAGGTGTTGGGCTTGCGGTTCCCCAGCGAACTACTAGAAGTAGAAATTTATTTTCTGTCCCATACCATCGTACTAACTATGGCCAGAATTCGGCTTTAACGAGAATGTGCCGCCAGATGAACTGTGTGGCTGATGATTTTGATGTTTTCAATTGCTCAAACCCTAGTTTTATTCAACAGGTTAAGAAAATTTTATTGTAATGTAATGTAATCAAAGTTAAAGTAATTGTGTTAGTTTAAGTCTTTTGTTTTAAGTGTATTTTGTATAAGTAGATTTAGTAAAGTGGCAAGTCCGTTAATAAACATAAAAATAAATAAAAAGTTATAAAGTACTACCACCTGTAACTTTTTTTATTTTTAATCGTACATAAAAAAGTTACACGAGTGGATCTCAGGATCATATATGGAAAAAGGATTTTTTTTCTCACTTAGATGCAAAAAAATCATGTAAAATTTCTATTAAATCACCTTTGGAAGCTTCTAAAAAATAGTTCCAGTCACAGAGTTCCAGTAATCAGAGGGACTTCAAACTTTCAGGATTTATTCAGTAGGTTTTTTTTTATCGTAAAAAACAAACCTTGAGTGGATCTTAGACTCAGAAATGGAATTATGAATTTTTTGTCACTTAGTTATTTTAAATTTTATCTGCAAAATGTGTCACTTTATCTAAGGACGCTCTGTATTATAATGATAGGGTGGGCCCACAGACTGAGGATTCTTCCTCCCACATTGAAATAATTTGTATGCAACTTATAAGAATGTGATGCATATATTCATAAAGGGAAACAAGAATGTATGCATTTATGCCTTGTTTGAAGACATTCAACTCAAGTAAATTTTTGCATAAATAATAAAAGATGAACGTTGCATGAATTTTGATATTCTTGACAAAACAACGAATGAATATCGTGTTTATTAATATCAATTAATATTTGAATTATTCTCATGATGGATCTTTTATTTAACCGTTCACAGGATTATGTACAGATTAAAATATTTAATAAAATGAATCACTTACCTCCATGTTGAAGTAGAAGGGCTGCCGATATAAGGCCAAAAATCCAATACATTTTTGTATTCTCGTAGTCCTGTAACAATATTATTACAGAAAATTCAGTGTCCGCCAATCTACTGATTAGTCAAAAAAGACATTGACTAATGGGATAATTTTTCTAAGAAATTTGTATGTAAATTAAATCAAAATACGTACCGGTCACCCGTGCGTTCAAGTTTAAAATCCAAGATACATCAAATTAACCCACAAAAATAGTAACTTTTCTTTTAACTGTAAACCATATATTTAACGGCCAAGTTCTTGGCCTTAAGTGTTGCTCATTCCCCGGTTCTTCTTTTATTTATACACGAAACGCGTTGGTTGACATCTTTTTTGTGTCATCGACCAGCAAACTATACCAAGCGTACCCATATTTACACTACCAATCTTCAATTTGTGTTAAAGAAGATGCCGAAGAAGTTTTAAAACAAGGAAATAAGCTTTTTTTAGTTTTAAGACTAGAACAAACTGCATTATAAAACTTGTAATTTTACTCATAGAGAAACAAAGTTGATTCACTCTGTAGGTTTTATGCTAAGCGAGGCCTCATCCTATGGAGAATTTATTTGTTGAAATTTAAAGGAAGCGATATAACGTATGCATATCGTATACGAGGTTAATAATAATAAATATTACATTGTGGCTAAAGTACACTTGTTGCGTTCTAATCGATACTTTTTTGTTCCAAATAAGACTTAGAAACTTATTGAGACACAAAAAGATGGCAAGAAAATTTATGGTTTGCTAATTTCAAAGTTAAATAAATTATTGATTAATTCTGAGCATTATTTGTTTCCAGTCCCAAATCAGATATTTTTCAACATTTTCAATCAGTTTTCCTTGATTGCGATTATCTACAGTTCTCAAATATCATATTGATGTCACGATACTTCCTATGCTAATCTATGGAAAAGTAGGCCTGCAAACTTTATACTCTAAATCATTCAGGTTTCAATTCAAAAATCTGCTTTCAAAATTTAAAGATTCCTACGCATATTTTAATATGTTGAACCGTTACATTATTAAAAAAAATTAATCAATTTAATGACAAAAATCTTTTGTAAAACTCGTTTCACATTATTTAGTTGGTAGGGTCACTGATCTTCTTTGAAATTTTCATCTCGAAGTCACGGATGCATTTAATTCCTGATTAACATAAAAATGCTGCACAATGGGAGTCAAAAATCTTTTAATGCTCTCTTGGATTGGCAGCTCAGATTAGTGGGAATTAAGAAAACAAGTTTTGAACTTCAGGAAAAAAAAAGTAATGACTATAATAATACTCTGTGACACGGCAAACAATAATAAATAATAATTTTAACCATAATTATTTGTGCTAGGCAATAAACACTCCATCTAAAAACTGTTGTGCATTTTCTTTTTTATCCGAGGCTTGAAACACTTATGCACAACTCAAATGTAAGTAGGTGAATTTTTCAAACTGCTATTACACGCCTGGCAAGTTTTCGCTGTTCTCGGATTGACGAGGGTGCACTTTGAGCATTCCGGACCGCCCACTTCCATCGGTTGTTCCTGTCCCATGTGTCTGCTTTTGCTGCACATTTCACAAATTTCTTTGGCACCGTCATTTAAGTAGGTACACGACTTGCATTGCCACTTTGACGAAGATAGGGAAGCTGCAAGAGCTGAAAGTGACAAAATTAACAATTACAATCGGGGTTTTTTTTACCAAAAACCTTGTTGTTGCACTACTGTAGGATATCAATTAAATTAGAAAAAGTTAGCATTTTTGTTAGTAATAATAGTGCAACATATTATATTGGACACCCATATATAAATTAATAAGTTTTACCAATTTTCTCCTTTTCTTTAACTTTCTTTAATTCAGTATTGACTGGAGATTCTATTTTGTAAATTATTTCTTTGGGCGAAAGTTTAGGCTGTACTGTAATTGGAGCATTTTGTGGTTTCCCTTTAACTGCCTCATTCGACGTAACATTTTCATAAGAACTTCCTTGTGAGTGTCGTCGTTCTTTGGCTTGAGCTTGAGACTCTGAAATATTTTTTCTCAGATTTTTGCTTAAAACTTCCTCAAATTTATTTACTTTCGATTGATACTTTCTTGTCCAATTGTTCCAAAGCTTCAGTCATTTTCATAGGCCTCTCGTTGATTGAAAATGAGTTCATTGCCTCGTCTAAATTAGTGGATTTTACTTTTTTCGGTTCTTTACTTTGTTTGCGCTGCTTGTCACTTACAGACAATCCCAGTAAGTCACCCCTTTCGCCTAAATCCTTGGTATAACTGAAAAAGTTTTTGATTTACGAACTTGACTTTTTCAAGGAATATCCTATCATGATCATATATAACAAACCAAAACAAATTGCCCCTAATTTTTCAGCAGTATGCCTTATGTGAAATTGTATTGGATGATAGAAATAAATAGTTTAACATTTCTGATATATAAAAATTAAAATCCTTACCCTTTCCTTTCCAAATTCCTATAAACATAATCCCAATCCTCATCAGTTTCCAACTTATTATTCTCTTGCACCCCATTCTTACTCAACTCTTCAGCCTCATTAGAACTCAACCTTGACCTTCTACTTCTAGATGGGGTTGCCTCATCTACCACATCATAAGTAGAACCGTTTCGACTTTCTAGCTCAATCAATTGTCCAGTGGGTACTGGATAAGCCACGGGCATAGTTGGGTAAAAATACCCGTTTGGTGTTAGTATGGGTTTCATCTGAGGCACCGAGTAGCCGTATGTGGCGTAATTATTGGGGCAACCATTGGTGTGAGGTGGCTGTAGGCAATACTGAGGTGGCGCGTGATTGTGATGGTTCATGTAATTGCCGGGTGGCTGATTATTAGTTGCAAATCGATTTTCATAAGGTTCCATCCTGGGGGTGCGTACCGGTGGGAATTGTTTGGTGGTAAATTTGTGTTTGATGTTTTCTACGCACTGTTCGATGGTGCCGGGACAGTAAACACGATTTTCTAGCACGTCCAGCCAACTTATGGTGAATAGTGGTGATATGTCTTCCCAAATGTGCTTCAGAATCTACAGTAAAATTTGAAATTTAGAATGTATAAGTTATAGGTATGTTAGAAAAGGAATTAAATATAAGATTGCGAAAAGTATGTAATCATGGAATTTGTTCAATAGTAGGCGGTAAAACCGATGAAGCTATTGCTGCGTTTGAAAATCTGTTTTTCTTGTATGTGTATTGGAAACTGTTTATGCACTATTTCGCAGTTCATTGTCCAGCCTATTTTTGAACTTTGAAGCGTTGACACTTGCTGCTGACACTATCTGCTCTTCCAGAGCGTTCTATGAATAAACAACTCTGCTTAGAAAGTTTCTTCTAGGCAGTTTTGCGGTTTTTTCTTTTTGAGTTTCTTGGAGTGACCACAAAGATAGTTTTGGTTTTGTACAAAGATATCTCTGACATTGCAACTGCAAAAACTGCTGTAATGCAAATAGCAAATTTAAATTACAGTATGACACAAATCATGCAGCATCAAACCCAGAATGTCCTTCCACTAAGTACCACATAGACCTAATAAGAAGCAAAACTAATTATGACTTTCCATAATGGTACAATTAGTGCAAGATGAACTTTTAGAAGGCATGCAAGCTGAAAGTAATAAAAAATAGTATATTATATACCTAGGTAGAGAAGTAGGTTTATAACGCGTGAGGTATATAATGACTTTCTCCACCGAGGAATATATAGAATTTTTTTTACTACTGCTAGTAGAAAATGAAAAATTTGTTGAAAATCTGTGCTCTAATTATTTTTTTTGAACGCCCTCTTGAAAGTGCTGCCCTCTATCAACATGTCATGATAACTTCCTATGTGCCTACAGAAATCTGTATTTTTTTAAAATTGACGTATGAAATTGAAATTGAACCAATAGAAACATGACAATATCCTTGCGTCATGACATCATTTTCATTATTGACCTAGGTATTTTTTCATTATTTTCATTATTCACCTAGGGAGAGAAATTCAATTTTTTCCTAGAAAAATAGATTGAATAATGACTATTTCTCAGGTTAGTAGTAAAAAATAGTATATTATATACCTAGGTAGAGAAGTTGGACCTTATATACCGAGCGCTTTTATAAACCGAGGCGCTCGCGCCGAGGTTTATAATGAGTGAGGTATATAATGACTTTCTCTACCGAGGAATATATAGAATTTTTTTTACTACTGCTAGTAGAAAATGAAAAATTTGTTTAAAATCTGTGCTCCAATTATTTTTTTTGAACGCCCTCTTGAAAGTGCTGCCCTCTATCAACAGCTTATGATAACTTCCTATGTACCTACAGAAACCTGTATTTTTTTTCAAATTGACGTATGGAAATGAAATTGAACCAATAGAAACATGACAATATCCTTGCGTCATGACGTCATTTTCATTATTAACCTAGGTATTTTTTCATTATTTTCATTATTCACCTAGGGAGAGAAATTCAATTTTTTCCTAGAAAAATAGATTGAATAATGACAATTTCTAAGGTTAGTAGTAAAAAAACAATTTTAGTGGATAGTGATGGTTTACGAAAGAAAGTAAAAAGAAATAATATTGTTCTTAATTTATTGCATACTAACATTAGAAGTCTGGTAAAAAATATTGATAATTTGATACTGCTCCCGAAAACTTTTGAATTGGATTATAATGACATTATTTTCTTAAGTGAAACATTTAAAATCTCCTCAATAGATCAATGTAATATACCTGATTATCAAATGTTTTACAATTATGCTGATTATTCCACTCATGTGTTAGAAATCCCATAAGACAGGTGACGATTTTCAGAATAACAGCGAAAATTCTCTTTTCCATTTGTTTAACTAGAGAGAATTACAGCGATAATTCTCCCATGTTATTGTATGCATGGTTGTCATGCTAATTTTTCATACAAACAAACGGTTCCTAATAGCAACCATTTATTTGTATTGATTGTTAAGATGTTCAAATCGTTTCGTTTAATACATATTTATTTCCATATTTTTTGCATTCTCATACGTGAAATAATCCTCTAAATACCACTTGAGCTTTAAAATGAACCAGATAATTTTTCACTCGTGCGTGTTTTCTTTCGTGTTTTCACTCGTCCTACGGACTCGTGAAATTATAAAAAACACGAAATCGTGAATAATTTTCGGTAATTTTGAAGCTCTCGTGGCATTATCCCCGATTATACAACTCACTGTACATTATTCCCATATGACACGAGAGGCTTAACAAGTGATAAGCCTTTTGGGATTATCGCGCTTGGTGGCATTTATATCAAATTCTATTATAGAAAATTTTCTAAATTTTAAAGTAATAAAGTTTAGTTCGTTGTATAATGTTTTGAATACCAGTCGATGTTTCAGGATTACCTAATACTTTTACCTGACACTCAACGCGTTAAAGTAGGGTTGACAAACTATCGAAAAAAAACTATCGATAGTGATATCGATAGAATGGCTTACCTATCGATAGTAACTATCGATTGTACTATCGATAGTTTGCTCTGACCAAATTACCCAAATTTCTAATTAATTCCGAATTAATTGTATCAAATGACAACAATACCATCATAACCTTAAATAACCATTAACCTCCAACCCCCATCAAGTCCATGAAAGCCACTCGTTACTCCTGTTAACCTAAAAATTAAAAATTGGCAGCACAGCATGTTTACCCCCAAAAATTATTACAGATTTCTCAAAACAGCTACACATTTCTTTATATTTACTCGCTACTGAGAAACCGACCCTCAAGAGTTTGGAACACTCGAGCTACTCGCTCCGGTGTTAGTCGACTCCGATTTGAAAGGAAGAATTACGTGGTGCAACAAAGACTTTTCGAAAGGAATAAGCACATAACGCCCCGGAGCTGTTCCGGAGCTCCTCCTAGGTGTGAAAGGAATACAACTATTGCAACTGGACACGCTTACCCTGGAGTTAAAACCAACCCGGAGGTGACTCGCTATTGAGAAACCGGCCCTTTGGAACTATCGATAGTGGCACAGGTCTATCGATACTATCGAAAATAAAAAAAATATCGATAGTATCGATATTCCTATCGATAGTTTGTTATCCCTACGTTAAAGTTTAACCATTATTAATTGAAATTTCATAAAAAAGGCGGCTCAGTTGATCTCTTTGAAGTCACGTGGGAATCCATAGGCGTCTAAATATTATTATCATGACAAATGAAAACAAATTGGTTGATAAAGAATAAACATACTCCAGATATTTCTATAAAAACTGAAATGACGAACGCCATTGCCCCGAAATTCTAGCTGATTTACCTCTAGAATACAGTGGAGTTAATACGTTAAATAAATGGGCAAAATTCATATAGTAGGTAATCCTTAAAATTCCGTTTTAAACAATTGAAATAAATCAAATATAAATATTTGAATGGGACTATTATTCCTTTATTAAAAATTCAAATTTGAAATTGATTTTTATTCAATTATCTGTGTAATTTTATACTTTTGTCCACTTCTAAAGAGAATATCTCACACTGTCAACAAGAGCGGCTTAGCTTTGTCGGCCAGTGACAAAGCCTAGCGGCATCGCCAACAATTTTCAAGTTTTTTTGCCGGCGTACGGTGTCTTTGTTATAGTGTACCAGGACTAGGCATAAAAATATAAAAATTATTTTATATTATTATAAGGGCTATTTTTCTAATTTTGAGTAGTCACCATAGAGATGCGATTTTCAATTGATAATGGTTATACTTTACCAGCAACACCACCTCCTTCGGAGTCGTGGTGTTGCTGCGTAACGCGTTTCGTGGCAGGTAAAAGTATTATCCGGTAATCCTGAAACCTCTTGTGGTATTACATTCGAGAATTTCATACATCTGTCAAAACTGGTATTCCAACAATGAATTGACATGTTTTTATTGTTGATTTGAAACAATCAGATTGTAATTACGCGATAATTTGCACTAGTGCAAATTATCAGATAATTGCATACTAACTGGTGCGAAAACTGGTGTTTTGACATTTTTTGACAAAAAATTTAAATTTTTGATTTATGAAATTCTCTCATTAAATACAACTCGTGCAATGGAAATATATTTATAATTTTCGACAAATTTGCACTCATGCGTTTTTAACTACTAACTAACTAAAAATGCATTCGGGCAAATTTCCCAAAAATTATCAATAATTTCCATTGCACTAGTTATATTACTATTGATTATAACAAAAATGACGGTATTATAATTTTAGTAAAGAATCATATTGATAATGTCAAATTTCAAATTATCAGGCTACCAATCTCTTTAGCTACTGTAAGCAGATTAACATGTGTTTTAAATGGTTTCAAGATTGGTATAACTGCGGTATATAAACCGCCACCCATATCTAAGACGGATTTTATTGAAGATGTTCAAACTTGTCTGGGAAGCATAACTAGTTATAGTGATAACAATTTTGAATTTTTTTTGGGTGATATAAACATGGACTTGTTAGATGTAGGGAATAATGAGGTGTATAACTATTTGTCAATGATGTCTCAGTTGGGATTCGAGTCGTACATAAATAATGTGACCAGATTTGATAGTAATACTTGTCTTGATCATATTTTTGTTAACAGCAGGCTAAAGCTCAATTGCCTAACCTTAGAAACATACATTTTAGACTCTCACATGACGGACCATGGACCTACCATGCTTAATGTGGTCTCAAGGGATGCTAAAATCTATAACAATAATGAAGTAATAAAAACCAGTTCATTTGACCTGTGCAAGTTTATAGCATCTCTAAGAGCTCAAGATTGGTCCTTGGTTCTTGATGACTCTGACCCTGAGTCGTCAAATTCAAAATTTATTTCAACTTACAAAGACTTGATGTTACAAGCAACTACTCAACACAGCAAAAAAGTAATACAGTATAAAAAAATGGATAACCAATGGAATAATCACCTCCATTAAGCACCGAGATAAGCTTAACAGAAAGTTACTGCGAAATTATGATCCTGATCTGAAAACGAATACAAAAGATATCGAAACCAATTAAATAAACTGATTGATAAACAAAAAAA